GGAGGACTGGCAGGCGGTCATATATTCCGACGAGTCCAAATTCAATGTTTTGGGTTCAGATGGCCGGGAATGGTGTTGGAGGGAGCAAGGAGACGCAAACAACCCCAGATACACCAAAAAGAAGGTCAAGCATGGTGGTGGCAGTGTAATGGTCTGGGGGTGCATCACCCGGCATCGTGTCGGGCGACTTCATCGCATCAACAGCATCACGGATCGATTTGTTTACACAGATATTCTTCCCCAATCCCTTCTCGGCACCCTCGATGATCATAACCTGGACCGCTCGACCATTTATTTCCAGCATGACGGTGATCCGAAGCATCAATCCAAGCACACAATAGGATGGCTTGATCTCGAAGGCATCGATGTGCTCCCATGGTGCCCCAATTCACCTGATATGAACATCATAGAGAATCTTTGGGATCACCTAGATCGCCTAGATCGCATGGTACACGCCAGGAACCCATTGCCGAAGAATCAGGAGGAGCTTTGGCTTGCGTTAAAGGAGGAGTGGGAATACATTGATCAGAAGTTTATTGACAGATTATACGACAGTCTGCCCAATCGAGTGCGAGAATTGTTGAAGGAAAAGGGTGGGGCGACTCACTATTAACATTCTGTGAGTTTGTTTCATTTTATTTCTACGCTTGGGGATTTTTCTGACTCGAATTCTCCTAGCCGATCAAAAACAGATTAACAATTGGATCACCTGTCATTTTTTCAATCCCACATAAAACACCAAGTTCTTAGTGTATAGGTCTGATATCTCATATGTGTATACTACATCCCTTCTACTACCATTTGAGCATAAAAGACCCAGTCAAAAAATGCTGAATGTTGAGCACGATCTTAATCTTTTCTGCAATCCACGTGATCCAATACTTTTTCGGACTCAGTGTACGTGCTTCAACCTTCAGGAGGGGGGGGTTCAACTGAGTTAGATTGTGCAGCATTGGGATGGCAAATGCTTTGCAAAGGTTCACCTCAAGGAACTGGGCCTTCGAATTCAATTTGGGCACCGCGGCTGTGTAAAGCCTCGCGCCGCGCCGGAGAACTTTGTAGTTCTCCATCTCGACGGGATACAGGAGGTCGCCATTGACTACTGTGGATGTGACCAAGAGTTCCTCCGCGGCGAACCCCACATCCAGCTCCTGCGTCGGGGCTGGTACCCCGCCACCACCGACCAGCCTCAGACAGCCGCAACTTTTGAGTGCCTTGACTTCTTCCACGTGCAGACGCTGCAAGCTAAGACGACGATGTACGACTTCTACGTCGCACTCAAGAAGCTGACGAACAATATGGGGATCAAGCCCCCAAATCGCTATTCCGAATTTTTGCGGATGACGCGGCAGTATCGGCATCTGCTGATGCTAAAGCGTGCAGGGCGGGGCCACAATCCGAGTGGGGTCTATGGGATGCAGCCCGGGGAGTGTGCGGTTTTGTGTCCTGCGTGCCCTCGGCCTGGGATGAACCTACCCGATGGCTGGGAGAACACCGCACCCAAAGACAGGTGTGTACTAGCGGGCGTGCGCTAGAGCCATAGGCTGTACTGATTTTTTTGGAATTTTCGTTCAGATTCCTTTATATCTTTTTCCTTGTGTTGAATGCGTGCTTCCGGCTGAAGCGCCGCCTGATTTCGAGCGACTTGAGAGATCCTGGGCTCTGGACGGGCTGGGCATATTTCACGGAGACGCAGGGGTATCGGCAGTTTCTGCTGACCGTGACCGACCAGAAGGAGGTGAGGATCGCAGTCTGTTTGCGCAGGCAATGACTAAATGTGTTTTAGATGAGCACCTGCAGCGGGCTCGCAGCGCTGGACTACGCCAACACGAAATTTTCTCGCGGCTACAGCAGCACGGGTGTCGGGATGGGGGGTGTGTGCCCGCCATGAGTTCGTCCAGCCGACGGGTGTAGGGGATCTGCAGAAGGGCGAGCGGTGCGCTTTCCCTCGCTCTTTCCGCCCGCTCCATGAGCTGACTATGACTAGCTTTGTTAATATGGACTATATATTCGCTTCAATTCTTCGGCACATCGACCCGCGCCTCTTCAAGGTCATCTCCTACGACATAGTGTGCCAGTGGTGGAACCAGCTGAAGGAGAGGCTGCTCTGCCTCCCGCCTCTTCTCTGCCTCCGCATCGCATTGGTGTGGATGTGTTTCGTCATCCCAAAGATGCACATTCACTCGCACACCATGGCCTGCCAGCTTCTCTTCTCCCTGAACTTCCTGGTCGGCGCTGGGCAGATGGACGGAGAGGGAATTGAACGGCCGTGGGCAAACATTGGGGGCGTAGCGACAAGTACGAGGGAGCAAGGGCCTGGGTTTCGGCACAATACGTTGGACGACCATTGGGGTTATTGGAATTGGGTCAAACTCATGTTGATTGGTGTGTGTATCTGGCGTGTCTGCGTAGGGACTGCGCTGATTCACAGTCTAGCACGGCTCTTGCGCCACCGTTTGGATACCGCAAAGGTGGAGAGCCAGCTCCAGTCCGAGGGATTTGAGGCGTTCTCCGCGCAGCAGGCTGAGCATGTCCCCGGATGGCTCAAAATCGTGGCGGATTTCGAGAAGGATCCATCAATGAAGAACCCGTATGAGACGAAAATTGTCGGTAAGTCCTGCGCATCGATATCCAAGCATATCTACTCACAGCGTTGTGCTAGGGTTGACTGAAGCGCAAGTACAGCTGCAGTTCTCAGAGGAGGAAGCAAAGTGCATCGAGATGGGCATTCCGGCGTTGCACAATGTCAGCCCGAGTGGCTTCATTTACGCGGGGCTGGAGTTGGAGGAACAACAGTATGCAGAGGCGTAACTTCTGCATATACACGAGCTAACACTACCCCCAGGCGACGCGTGAGGGTCCAGGCTGAGCTGAAGAAGGCGGGGACGTCAGGGCAGCTCATCACCCTAACAGGATTACAGACGAAGCTCACGCGGGGCATTCAGTGTTTCCGGAAACTGCAGGCAGTGTACACGCCGGTAGCATTGCAGGCGGCGTCGCGGGTGGCGAGTCAGGCGATCGAGGGACCCCAAGTCGGAAAGCGGGAGCTTGCAGAGGAGACACCTTTGTTTTTGCCATCGGCATTAACGGAGGAGGAGCGCAAGACGGGCTGCGCACCCGGGCTGGAGAACATAGAGGCGCTGGCGCTCGATGCGCAGTGCCGGACATCCCTCGTCCACCTTCGCAACCAGCTCCATGTCAAGTCCCACTTGATGATCTACAAGAAACGGAACTCGTGGAACCAAGGAGCCAATATGTGCTCTCAGACCATTGTCTCGCGGAATGAAAGCAAGATCAGGCTCCATTCCGAGAAGTACCAGGGGGCATGGCACGCGATCCGGCGGCTGAACGGCGGGGACCTGAAGATGGTGGGCTGGCTGAAGCTGCGGCAGCGGGACATTTGGATGATGGAGGATAAGGAGGAGCTGACACGACGGATGGAGCGGCAGAGGAAACAGGACTTGAGGCGCTTGGAGAGGCAATGGAGGCTGGTTGAGGAGGGCAAGATTCCGGCGGCACTGCCAGAGGAGGACGAGGACGAGGAGGGGTGGGAGGACGAGGAGGGCGACGATGCAGGAAGGCGGGAGGCGCGGGGGAGAGAATGTGTGCGAGGTGTCATGGATATGGTTGGCGGCAGGTACGTCGGGTACTGATGCCGATTTGGAGGATGGTACGTGGATGAGCCCGGCTACAATGCTATGCTGACGTCAAATCGCTACCAGCCCTGCGCATTGAATGGTCAAAAGCCTACGCTCGGTCACGTCGATGGAAAGAGGAGGTGTGGCTGCTCGAGGAGGAGTCAAGATGGATCCTTGTCTCCTTTGAGTTCTCCACCTTCGTTTGGGAGCAGCGCGCCCTGGCCATCAACATCGAGACGGCTTCCGAGGAATTCACAAAAGGTGTGATCGCATACGCGGTAGCACAAGCACGGATGTTCCGTGCCATCAAGGCACAAGCGGAGGTGACGCTTACGGAGCCAAAGCTCGTAAATGGGAGGAAACGCATATCGCGCGTGCGAGTGGAGGAAGATGCCGAGGAGGAGGGGGAGGAGGGGTGGGAGGTTGCAGAGGAGGGTGACGGAGAGGAATGGGATGGCGATGGGGAATGGTGAGGAGCGGGGTGATGTCCCCAGTGACAAAGAGTTTTTCTTCGGAGGGGAGGATGAGCAAGAGTAGGCGGCGGCGGGCGCGTGCGCAACGCAAGCAACGGCGATGGGCAGGCGCGCAAGCAACGCGGGGCGGGTGCGTGCGTAATCCCAGGCGGCCGGATGCGCAAGGAACGGCGGGTGGGCGCGCAATGCCAGCAATCAACAGCGGGCAGGCGCACAACAAAAGCAACGGCGCACGGGCGGGCAACGCAAGCAATGGCGGGCAACGGCGGGCAGGTGCGCAGCACGGGCAACGATGCTCGGGCGCGCAACGCAAACAACGGCGGCGCAATGCCAGCAACGGTGCGTGCAAGTAATGGCGGGCAACAGCGTGCACAGGCAATAGCGGGCAGGCACGCAATGAAAGCAACAGCGCGTGGGCGGGCAACGCAAGCAACAGCAGCGCAACGCCGGCAACGGCGCGCGCAAGCAATGGTGGGCAACGGCGCACGCAGGCAACGGTGAGCACGCAACGCGAGCAATGACGCATGGGGGCGCAACACAAACAACGATGGGGGCGCGCGCGTAAGCAACGGCGGGCGGGCGGGCGCGTGTAAGCAATGGCCGGCGGGTGCAACACACGCAACGGCGCGTGAGCGGGCGGGCTTTTATTTAATGATTTATTACATCTTTTGGGAATACATCACGTGGTCAATACAATGCCGGCGGCGCGATGCCGGGGCGCGCGAGCCTCGGCACGCTCGGGCAGGATGAGATTCGGGCTCTGACAGGGGGCCGCAGTGCCGGGGGACGTTGTCTGATGTCAACAGCACCTTACAGATACCTGAAATGGATTGCCCGAAGATTTTGCATTGAGCCCTTTGGCCTGGGCCGGAACATTTTGCATAGGGATGGCCTTATGAGGTGAGTGGTTAACCTTCGGATTCAGAGCATCTCAAGCGTAATGAGAAGGTCGCCGGTTCGAGTCCGGCCGCAACCTTTATTTTCCCATCAGTCACACCCAACGCAACCCGCAGTGTCACAGTGTGCCCCATGGATGAAATCAGAAATAGAGCCTTGCTCTCTATGCAGGATCACCTGCATGCAAATAAGGCACTCACAATTGATGTGTGCCTCTGAGCCGATGAAGCTCGGCCTCCAAACTGCGGGATTGTGAACATGCAAGAGCTCGCAGTGCTTGGAGGATTCTTGTGGAAGGATTCCTTGCTCGTGCAAATAGGACCACCATGACATGATCTGCCAACAATCTGGATAGTTAACCGTGTTGCATAGGAAGGGTCATGAACAGGGTAGTGATCCTTAATGTGCTCCGTTGCGGTGAGAACAGCGGTGTCAAGCAGGAGATTGTTGAGAATGTTCTGGGCTCCTTCATCGATTTCGTTCATCGTGTTGAGGTGAGTGCAATCCCGGATTCAACTTGGATGTCTCTACAGCACATGTTGGGGGGCCACCTTTCCAGAGTGGTAGCGCTCACCTGGTGCAGTGTGGTGTTGATGGGAAAGTAGCACGAAAGAACAAGGGACATGTTTGTTTCCCTCTGTTTGTGACCATGATACATTGTCACTTAATTTATCCCATGCCCGCTGCTTCTGCTTATCCATGCGAGACAGGGGGAAAGAGCGATACTGGGGCTCTGGAGCATGCACTGGTATTGAATCTTGATTTAAATCTCTTGATTGTGCATATATGTCTGGAGCTCAGGAACTTTTGATTATAATTTGGTAGCTCGTCAATGGTATCACCAGAGCCCGGAAAATAGCTTGAGTTCCGACATCGTTCTTGTGCTCAAATAAATACTGTTTTTGAGGCACCACCACTGATCTTGGCACGCCCAATCTCTGAGATTCATTGTCACCCTTTTGCTTCCATGATTTCTTGGCATAGGGGCACTGGGAGCAACTGTTCCATTGATGAATGTGGTGCAGCTTGCCTGCATTACCTTGATTGCCCAGATGCCACTGACATAAGCACACACATATATCTATATTCAAGCACACCTTGTCGTGTCTCTCTTCCCATATGATTATCTGTCACCTCAGGCTACCCCCACCTGACCCCCATAGGGCCAAATTTTTGAGGGTAGTTAATTGGGCCTATAGGGGGTGTTTCTAAGTGGGTATCCCATGCTTTCTACTGTTTTGCCTTGGGATGTCCCACAGGTATTGTATGGGACATCCCTCACAGGTTCAAAATCCTGTTTGGGATATCCCACTGGCCCATTTGGTGGGTAGGACCCCTGGCACCAGCCGGGCAGAAAAAATGCATTTTTGGGTCCATTTGTGCACCATTTTGCACGATCTATAGTGATCCATGAAGCTGTTCACTAGGGCTTTCATGCCATGGTGAAGCAGGTGCATTGGGGCGGGTCTTTTTTTCGAGCAAGCCGCAATACAGGTACGCCAGCCCACGTTTGAATACTGCAATACAGGTACTTTGGCCCGTGTTTGAACATGGTACCTTGACTCGCGCTCAAATACCGAAACACAGGTATGTGCACCCATGCTTGAATATTGAAACACAGGTATATGCACCCATGCTCAGATATTGAAACATGGGTGTGTTGGCCATGCTCGAATATTGAAACATGGGTGTGTTGGCCCACGCTCGAATATTGAAACATGGGCACGTGCGCCCACGCTCAAATATCAAAACACAGGTACGTGTGCCCACACTTGGATATCAAAACATGGGTACATGTGCCCACGCTCGGATATCAAAACATGGGTATGTCTCTGTCTTCTTCTCAGTACACTATCTTCCTCACATCCTTCAATTCTTGAATACCACAATACAGGTACACTGGTTCTTTTTCTGTTTCTTCTTCTCAGTACACTATCTCCCCCAAGTCCTTCAATTGTGTCCAAGTGTTATTTGAACTCGTATCCCTAAGGACTTTATAATTGCTGAGAAATACGGGTGTGTTGGCCTACACTTAAATATTGAAATATGAATACTTCATTTCCCCTGACAGGAAATGCAAGAGGGATATCCCATATTTTCACAAAATAAGGTTGGGACATCCCATGTTTTCAACATAGACACACAGGATGTCCCATGTGAGGCTAAAAATGAATGGGACATCCCTTCCATGCAGAAAATAATGTGGGATGTCCCATAATTTCAAACGGACACATGGGATGTCCCATGGTTTCAAATCACCCACATGGGATGCCCCATCTGAGGCCAAAAATGAGTGGGATGTCCCTCGCACTCAGAAAGTACCGTGGGACATCCCATGTTTTCATAACAGACACATGGGACGTCCCATGCGACGTCAAAAATGAATGGGACATCCCACCTTATTTTCTGCATGTGGGATGTCCCATGGTTCAATAAAGAGCATGGGACGTCCCACGGAGTTTCAATTCCATTGACATTGTATGGGACATCCCATAGTTCAACAAATAACGTCAACAGTTTCTGTAGTACCATTATAGTGTGCACCCTTCCCTGCTATTCCCGGCATGCTACTGCCGGTTCCGGCATCAATGGCATGGGGTTTCTTTATTTGTACCTGCTTATATACCTTCTGCATTAGGCTGCAGATTGATTGACAGCACTTGCCTGTCAATCAACACCTTCTACCTCAGTCACAGGCTTTTACTGGTCAATTTGATGGATAATTCCCAGGCATATACATCAAGTTTGCCATCATTTATTGCTGGCTCTGGGAATTTATTTTGCATTTTGCGCAACAACAGGGACTCTTTTACCAATCCGTAAACACATTCAGATAGGCCTCAGCAAGCTCTACAACTTTGATTTTGGGTGTATTTTTAGATATATACCACCAACTTCCTTTTTTGGCCACTACGCCTTTGGCCCAAAAAAGAAACTTCACCATTTTCCCCCTCCCTGGCTCAGAATTTGATCATTTTGGATGTTCTAACTGGCCAGGGGTAATTTTTGATACTATAAAAAGTAAATTAGAACACACTCAGAAGCACTAGACTCCAGCAATGTATTTGTAATACCCAAAATCATAAAACCTGCTCCCAACCAAGATATCTTTGGAATACAGCCAGATATTCAGAGCTAACTCATACTCCTTCATATATCTATGCCAGAGATACGCTCCACATGTAGTAAAACAGGATTTGACTAGTCAAGAGAGCATATTTTGACCATAGTAGAAAACACTATGACTGCTGTATTCCCATGGCTTGTAGTCACCTCAGTGGTTGCATTTATAATGCTAATACATATACCACTTATATAAACACAATGGTGAGGTTATTGATCTCGTTTTGCATTGCCATGGCAAGATTGAAGATGAACATGCTCTGCATAACTGTTCACCCCATTTGCCATGGGCCACCATTATACAGTGTGTGCTATGGACCTAAAACCAATTTTCCAAGTGATTCAAACATTTAGGGCCAAAGATTATCCCAATATATGGCCTTGCAGTTCCAAAATTTCAAGTGACATTTTTCGCTTCTTTGTTGAATTGGGCTCTATCTAGAGCTAGTAGTGGGAAATAAACAATACAAAGGCGAAGAGACATGATGAAAGACCTATATTGGCCTTTATTTGAGGGATTTTGGTCAAAATTTGGCCAGATGATGTTTTCAACCATGTGTAAACAAGTGCACAAAATGTTGCTGTTTAACCCATGTACTCCGAAACACAATCTACTTGAAACTTGACCAAATTTCTTCAAATAAAGTTGACACAGGAGGCAAACCCCGTTGCTTATGGATCCATAAGCGACCGTCGCTTATGGCGCGCTTGTGGCTTGCTTGTGGCTTGCTTGTGACCGGTTCTGAGCATCAAAGCCAAAACCGGCGAGAGTTCAATTCCCAGTGTGGGCAAGTTTTAATAAATCTAGGTCAAATCATATATTTAATCCAGAGCTTCCATATCTAGCCAGAACATCCTCAATAAAGTTTAGCATACTTTCTAACTTATTACTAGGCATCCAATTATGACTCACATGCTGTACAGTGAGAGGTGTTTAATGACTTAGGTAAGCAGAGCCCACCAAGCCCTGTTGATTTTGTTCTTCTGCTCCTCGCTGTACCTCAAGCCACAGAGAATACCAAATCTCTTATGATTTGAACCCAGGACAGGTGGTGGCACAACTTCTAACATAGATTAGAGTTAGGTGGTGGTGTCCAGGAAAAACTTGGTAAAGAACCTGAAAAAAAATAGCTCCCTAGGAGCACCCTGGCCAACTGCACCAGATAAAGCTGTGGTCATTGCCACTATGTTAGTTTTGTATCTATGGCCCAGTGAGATAATGTGTAGAGGCTACGGTGAGGAACATAAGCTATAAACTTATTAGTTAGCATAGCTTACCTAAGTTGTCAAACAATACAATAGTGCTCTCCCTCCACCAAACACAACTCACAATTAGAGGTCCAATTATAAGCCAGGAAATATTCTGAAGTATATTGAGGCTGCTCTGGCCAGATACGAAAGCTCTGGATTAAAGATATGATTTGCCCTGGATTTGCTAAAACTTGCTCACAGCGGGAATTGAACTCTCACGGGTTCAGACCCTGATGCCCAGAAACCTGCCACAAGCGCGCCATAAGCGACGGTCACTTATGGAGCCATAAGCGGCAGGACTTGCCTCCTGTGTGAATATGGATCTTTCATCATAGCTCTTCCCCTTCTTGGTGTTTATTATGCAGTAGCTGCTCTGGTTGGTGCCCTATTCACCAAATAAGCGAAAGATGTCATCTGACATTCTGAAACTTCCAGACTATATATTGGCACAATTTTTGCATCCAGACCTCAAGAAGTCTTGTGAAATCTTCTTTGAACTCTTTTCTCCTGTTCCAAGTCTTTTAGGCATGCTAGGGAAGGTAAGGATGCATATTGAACATTTTCATATCTGATCTTCACCTGTAGACTGGTTTGTGGGTTTGAAACCCACCAGACAGAGTTCTATATGTAACAATTGTTCCATGAGTAGGGATGCTGCCTGTTGGATCATTGCATAACCCCAGAATAGAGCAATTATAGCATTTT